CACGATAACAGATACAATCAATCAATCCGCTTCCTCACTATAGTATTTGCAGCTGCAAGTTGATTCACCACGTGCACCTTTATCGTGCCAACAGTCTGTTTTGCATATTTTTTTTGCCCTTGTGTTTGAATATCTCTTTTATGCATAGCTAGCGCTGATCTCGCATCTCGCTTGCTTCCTATCCAGTTGTTTGTCAAAGGAATTTCGGGCGTATTGTAGAAAAGAGGATAGAAAAGTTGGTAACCGAAAAAAGCAATTTCACCATGGAAAATCAGTGATAGTCTTGACTATAGTTTGGAGAAAGTTTTGTAAGGTGTAGAGGCTGCTCTTAGTCTGTCGAATATTGAATTCTCATCTCTCGTTTCAACATAGTCGTGAGATGGTATACAAAGCTTGGAGTCGCTCGATAGCGCCGTATCTCTCCGCTCAGCACGAATTATGAATCATACTCGGCCATGCATTCAGTCACGCAATGCCCTTTACCTTCTCGCATTCCGGATACGAAGGGGCTATCCCACCTTGATCAACATGCTGCTCTGCTTACAATCTTCCGCCATAATGGCGCCATATATCGCTCGATTGCGCGTCGATACACGTTTCTTTTGCACCTCCTCATACGGGCAAATATGTGCGCCGAAGCAGTCAGTTGACGCGCGGCTAGCGCCATAAGCAGCGGAATTCTGCACTGTTTCTGGCAATGCTGGGCAGCGCAGTGCAGCCGGTGAAAGATAGATGCCTGTCGGGTAAGCTCCTTAGTCTCGAGTAGGCATCAATGAGAATGCGTGCGAGCAGCCTCGCTTACGCCCTATCTCTCCTTTCTTATCCCCGAACACTCGTATGACATGTGGTTCTACTTTCTTTACTCGGCGAATGAAAATGCCCGATAAAGATGAATTTCTAGGCATGCTCTCTATTTCCGTTCTTTGTTCCTTCCCGTGTGGGGGTTCGGTTGGGGTACCCCATCGGGTACCCGGTGCGGCGCACTGTTGGGGTTGAGTTTATCGTTTCGAACTTCTGTATACTGCTATGTCTAAAAAGTGCTTTGCGACATGGTTCTGTGCGGAACCGCTGCAACAAATTCGAGGATCGTTGCAAGGCGCGTCGAGTGTGCTTGAAATCCACCAGTTGGGTTAGAGCGCTGGCGAATATGGTCAAGAAGTGAGACAAACATGTCATTCTGGGTGGCATAGGACCACATGCGTGCGGTTCGGATCTCTTGGTCGGCGATACATGTGCTGGTAAGGTAGATGTTGACTCAGTGGCAGGCGCAGACGAGGATGACAGGAACTGACGGTCAAGGAGACCCCCCAGATATGTCCGCGTTTATAAAACAACACTTTTCACACTAATCATACTTAGTATAGGTATCGCGCCGCTAGTTTGGTGTGTTGATGGAGTTTGATAGGGAGAGTTGACATGACTCGCGACATCGCATCGTCCACCATCCTGGGAAGTATTGTCACGAGAGTGTCTTTGGTGAGCGCCATATTTTTTATCCCAGTAGTCTTACATGTCATCATCCGTGATACAATGCCAATCCTGGTGAATTCCTGGAGTAGTGTCGAAGTTGCGCATGAGCATGTTAGCACGGTACAGTTTCCTAAATAAATGTCAGCCATAGTCATACGCCAAGTGTACCCACTTTTTTACCCTCTCTCATTCAAGATTGAATAGGTGTTTTCCTGGGGTGCTCTCCTACGCTCGAGCGGTAAAGGGTTCGGATAGTTGCACAGACGCGTCGTTGTAAGACTTACGGGACTGTAAGTATTACCCCGTGGGCCTTTTTCGGTTACCATAAACGATTTATTCTGGCCGATAGAAGCTCGGTCGAGACTGATTTCGCCCACTCAAGCTTGGTAATACTTAGACAAGTGGGCTCGAGGTGCAGCCGCGGCATGCCAGCTTAGGTTGAAACTTGCCGACCTGCAAACGACATGGAATAGTGCCGAGACGAGCTGACATAGACGACAAGTATAGATTTAAGTAGCGTAAAACCCAAAGAGGTGAAATTGAAAAGAGAGGCGAACTCGATGATCCCAGTTGGCGGTAGGGCGGATTGAGCTCCGCCTCTATTCATTGGAAGGCACATGTGCGACTCCATGCACCTGTGCGACTCCATGCACCTATACACACACTAATTGTATCCACGCAGTTGCTCTATGCAAGCAGGAAACTAGGCTGGACCTAAAGTTGACAACAAGTCATCCGGCGTGTCAGGGTAAGGGAGGGCCTTAAGGCGCGCATACGAAAAGAGCATCAAAGGGGGCAGGACGCGCATTTCCCCACGGAATCAGGCTGGGCAGAAGTAAGGAATAGGCCAACCTGTTTGGATGTGTTCCCACCTGACGGCAGTCTTGAGCAGTTCCCCTAGTCTGCCCATGACTAAGTGGACGTAGCGCGGCTAACCCTGCAATGTGTGTGACGTGCATTAGGGAATCGCTTACCCGGACCGCCAGACGGGCTGATAGCATGACATCACAAAACTGTCGCGGATATGGACAAGAAGCCGTCGCAACTACTCGAGGTACGCCTAAAGCCTAACCCAACCAACTCTTGTCTTTATTTTTTTGATTGCATATAGCGGCTTTCCTCAGGTGGGACTGTGTGCAGTTCTTCTGGCGGATGCATATATCGCTTTTTCCAGCACCCCTGTCCTCAATCTTGTGTTTCACTCCAGGTTTTGCTCACCGATCAGCATCTGTGGCGTCCTCGAGCCCTTGGGATCAGACGTCCTTGCCATAACGCTGGGTCGCTGTAGTCACCCATTATCGGGGCCATTGTCTGGTACCTCATGAGGCCCTTCCCCGAGGTGGGCGCGGCGGCGGCGGCATCATCCGAAGGATTTCGGCGTGTATACACAGGCGCCCCTCACTGGACATGTATACAGTGGCCAGCTATGCAGGCCCAAGAGCCGCTAATAGACTGACATTGACTGTCTGTTGTTCTTTTGAACAGCGTGTTGCTACTACACCAAACAACAATTGCGTTGGCAGCGTAAGAAGAAGAAGATTGCCGTCCTTTGTTTGTGCAGCTAACAGTAATGGCAACGCCATGCCAGCTTTGTCTACGCACACCCGCATCCCCTAGCACCTGCCTCCAACACCGCACCACAGTGCAAACCGAAGAAAAATACAGGGGCAATTTCAACCTGTGCCACACGCGTCAACACGGCAGAGCCCACAAAGCAACGATGCCATCAGCTTTGTCACGATGGGCGATCTTGGCCGATCCACTGCGCGACATCTTAAGCGCGCTGTTCATCTCTTCGGAAATACTTCGCCGATTACGCGCGGGTTTATGACCTCGGATAGTGGTCATTCTGACATGCATCCTCTTCTCAATTCACCTTTAGGGATCGACTTTTATTCAGTCTTTGAGCAGTTTCCCAAGCTCGACAAGACTCCACCCAGTGGGCTGATATTGCAGATGATAGTCTCAACAGGACTTTATTAGCACATTCGGCTGTTATCATGATGTTCTAAGGATCGATCGAGTAGCTACTCGCGAGCACGGCTGGGTCTGGAGCGCCACCAAGGCTCCAACAATCTGCCTTGCCATCATTTTTGTCCGCCAGCTACGGGCAAGGCGCTTGCTTTCCTCGTGTGGACATGCCATGTGGATTCGCACCCATTGCCCAAATCGGCTACACATCCGCTTGAGAACGTCGTCGAGCATATGCCTGGTGCCGACTTATCCTAAAGGTGCCATAGCGTAGCGAGACTCGACTGAAGCCATGTAGCCAGTGTACTCCAACTGGACCCATAAGGCTGAGTATGAAAAGGACCGTGCCTAGTGGCGAGCCAGTGGTTGTGATGCGACTGGGGATGGGCCGCCTGGCTGCATTGTCCTGCAAGAGCCATGTTTGCTATCATACTCTGTGTGGATGTCCAGCTGATCATTCATGCAGTGATGAAGCGATATGCAGCCAATCCTCCCTAGCAAGGCATGTCATGAGGCTATGCTCTAGGTGGTGCCCTAGCCATGCATGGTGGAGAAGGCTCTCCTCGAGACGTTTTAGCCTTGGAACGTATGCTTGTGACAAGCGAACGGGCCGGGAGCAAACCTGACACTCCCGTATCAGTCAAAACGAAGTTGCATTTGGCGGTGAGCTGCATGTAGATGCACAATCACATTGCAGCAACTTCCCGCATTCGCGGTAGCTGTCATCGCATCCGCTGATAGTGGATTGGCGCCGATACTGGCAAGAAGTAGCCGCGCTCTTGGCCATCAAGGATAGCTATACGAACTTGTGATTATCTGAAAAAGGTTGCTTGCTTGCGCAGGCAGATACGATGCCAGCATGAGTCGCCACAACAAGTACGAGTGGGGAGGGGGTGTGAACAGCTGTGGCATTAACTGGCGCACACCAATCGGATAGCCACCACCCTAGTGAGCTGAACCCTCGGCGGCTCATTTTGACCATTTGGCCCAATGATTCTCCATATCCGTAGCCCCTGATAGCTCTGCAGCTCAACGGGGTCGCAGATGGGTGGATCCGAAGCATCTCACAGTTGAGATGGCATGGCACGGGCCACAACTGCCCATGCAGTCCGAAGGCACATCATCACGTTATTTTATGTTGAGTAAGTCTCGGCAAAACTATGGGCCTGGTAAGAAGTGCTAATTGGGGTGCTCTGCCGCTAATATTCCGCCTTTCATGTAGCATGAAGGCCCTTTCTCGGCAGCGACGGATGTAGGTTGTTGTAGCGAGGTCTAAGTATGTACAGAAAAGGCTGGACGAGGTCTCAAGACAACGAATGCTCGCACCTTTTTTTTCTGATCACATGCTGACATTCACCCACTTGCAAGTAGGAGAAGCAGGTCCCGTGAAGCTTCGGAACCTTCCGTATGATTCGACTGCATGCGAAGGATTTGAGCGAATGGTATCTAATCGCACAATTCCCACAGCGGTAAGCGCGGTGATATTAGGCTGATGCGAATGTGATCGAACCTATTTTTGCGATCTGCGGTGTTCCTAAAAGGGTCTTGTAAGTACCTACCCGGATCGTCGATGACTCGCGTCAATTGCCCGAGCAGACGTACATATGTGAGTAAGTACGAGTTCTAGCGAGGATACGCTCACTAGGACGCGGCCCTTTAATTAGTACAAGATGCTTCGGTCTACAGCGGGACCAGGGTGGCAACCACGGAGCCACATGGCTTCCCGAAGGAAGCTCTGCCGCAAGCGAGAGCAGTCAGTGCGGTGGGCAGACGTTGGTCAAGGGCAGGCGACCACTTGTCTCCATACGGCAAGGTTTCGATACGTCCCGCTGCCTTTACCATAGTTTTGGACCCGAGTGGTAGGGGTCCATTTGAGTATTTCTTCTTTGCCACGTCTGACCCGCAGCCATTAGCATGACGGGCGTCGGGTCACAAGCAATCCAGAAAAGATACACCCAGGATTCTTTCTTGTCGCACGAGCCTAGTCATGTGTGTTGGCGCTGATTTCAATTAATGGTCGGGCTCAATCTAATGTAAGCCTTGCCTTGCAAGGCGGGTCTGTCAGCTCTAAATTCACACCGGCACTCCGCATTGCCATCCACACCCTGACAAGGGCAACTAGCGATCACTGGATACACATCTCTCACAGTGGGTTGCGTCAATGGCAGCCAAGTATATAAAGGTCCTTTGCAGGCACACTGTTGAGTTACACTACCAACATTACACCTGCCCTTTTTTTAATACTGACTATCAGAGAATTCTCTCGGCACTAAAAGTATACCCATACTTTTCAGCAACACTCAGAATACTTTTAATAGACAGTCACCAAAGTTTCGTAAAGCCACTTTTAGTCGACCATGTTGTCGCCACCCCTCAGTACAAGGTCTTCTTTTGAGAGCCTACACAGCAACACTTCATCAGTGCTCAGTTCACCAGATAGACTTCCGCCAGCGGTAAACGGGTCTATGGTATGGCAAGGGAAAGAGCTTGATCCATCGGAATATGTTGTAAGATTGAGTGAGGGTGAGATTCGAGATGTCAGAGCCGCCATTATAAAATTTAAGCGTAAGATTTGCCACGACCAATCCCCCTCATTCCCCGAGGTCACTGATGGTTTTGGAATGTAAACTAAAAGTTTCCCTGTTTCAGTCACCGGACTTTCACGCAGCGACATCAGCCCAGAAACATTCGATCTTGGCAACGCACAACTAGCAAGCAAACTGTCGTCGCTAAGCAAACGTATCCACCAAGGCCGGGGCCTCGTCGTATTGCGTGGTCTAGACGCAGCCTATTTTAACGACGAAGAAGCAGTTATTGCATTTGCAGGTATATGCTCGTACATCTGCCCAGAGCGAGCTACGGATTCATACGCCAACCAAACCCTAAGCCACGTACTGGACGCAACCAAGAAGCCTGTTCCGGTAGAATGCAGAGGCATAGGACTCGCAGGCTCAAAAGTTACTTCTGCCATGGACTTCCATAGCGACCGCTTTTCTGGAGATGTGCTTGCTCTGTATGTTCGTAACGACGGGGGGCCTAACGCTGGCGGCGAGCAGTTCGTCGTTAGTTTTGCCCGGATTTACAATGAATTGTTGGAAACAGATCCAGAGGTTCTGGAGACGTTGGCAGAGCCAAACTGGCCATTTGAGTTGAAGCAAAAGTGAGTCTTTTTCCAATCTCCCTCTACTGGTTCAAATAAGGCAATTTCTTCCGCCTATGCAACTAGATGACTGCATACCTATTATTTCCCTTGTCTATTCTCGATATCTCCACGCCACACCTTTTCTTCCCTGTATCTTTCTCTTTCTTCTCCATCTCACCCCCCTCTTCTCTGTGTCATTTTTCCTGGAAAAAGGCATCCACACTCAAAATCCTCCAAGTTCCGCCCAATGGAGGAAATTCCCCCTTCTGAGCTCAACAAAGGAAGAGGGGGTGAGGGGCAACGTACACAGGAAGAGGAGGGAAGGAAGGAAAGAAGGGAGATAACGTCCGCTTTACTTGCTGGGCCAGACAAGAAACTAACAACCTTGAACCCAGAAACGGGGCCACTTACCTGTCATACGGCCCCATTCTATTCTTCTCGTCAAACGGAATGCCCATATGCCAACTCGTCAAAGCCCCGCTGCTCGGGACCCCCAGTCTCCCTCGCGCTGCACACCTGCCCTCGCTCAACCCGCAACAGCTCCACGCCGTCGACGCCGTCGAACGGCTAGCCCGCGAATACAGCCACCAACTGTGCCGCCGCCAGGGCGACATTCAACTCGTGCACAACCTGTCCATCATGCACGCTCGGTCCGCGTACGGCAGCAGCACCAGCACCAGCACGCAAAACGCACAGAGTTCGCGCCACTTGCTGCGCATGTTCCTGCGCGACCCCGCCTGTGCGTGGGAGAAGCCTCGCTGGGCCGCCACGTCCTTTGACGATCCCTTTGAAAAGGGTCGACCGCAGAATCTTCCCGTCTACGATATGGATCCTTGGCGCATCATTAGTGGCCGTGAGAGCCATGGCTAGGTTTCCCACCTTCCCACCTTTCACCCACCCCCCTCCCTCTCCTCCCTTCCTCCCTTCCTACCGCCACTGTGGATTCCCTTTTCTTCTCTCTTTTAGTTGTACCTAGCTTACGCTTGCCACGGTCCCGATACGGATACATTACGTATGCACACATATGCAAATATGTATGTACGGATGTGTAATGTGCTATGTACATTTACGGATTGCGTGTACATGCTATAATATTTTTTTGGGGGCAAGAAAAAAAAACAAAAAGGAACTAAGGCCATGTGCGAGGAAGGGCCACTTGCTTTACTGTACCTAACCATGTTCCCTTCTAGTCGGTCAAACTAGTCTACCTTGCGACTTACCCGCATGACGTGCAGCAGGGGACCTATGTGTGCGCATATGTGCTTGCGCTCACATGTCGTCGTGCACGGTCAAAAGACAGGAGGTGTGTGTGTGTGTGCATATGTGTGTGTGAGTGGGCTCGAGGGATGGATACGGTTTTTTTGTGGCCAGTGAAAAAACTTTGTTTCTGTGGCTTGTCAACTGGAAGGGAGGGGGGTGGCCGGTCGGTGTGGGCGTAAGGGTCGATCACGAGGTCTCGCACTCGCTTTTCCCTGTCCCTTTTCCCAGCGTTTCATTTCATTTCTTTCCTTTTTTTCTTCGACACCACATGTCTCACGCAATGCATGCCGGAATGGGTGGGTTACGGGGAAACGGCGTGTCGGGCGTGTATAGAACTTTGCGGCATACGATCGACATTACCATGTCGTCGGCACCACTTCCGCCCCTTATCGACTCTTTTTTTTGGTCCTCTCGTCCTGAATTTCCTTTTTGCTTCAATACTTGGCATTAATTTTCATTTTATTTCTCAATCTGTTCAAACTAGACTATACGGGCTGTGATAGATCTACCGAACTCATGGAATCCACACAAGACTTTGCTTCACTTGTTTCAGTTTTTCCCTTTCCTGTGTTCTGTCTCCCGCCGCACTCAACAAAAAAATCTCGGACAAATCCGCATGGGCGACAGCAATCTTTTGATTGTACAGCGGGGCTCGCTGAATGCATGTACGAGGTTCTCATGGCTCATCCTCGGCACATGACTGGGTATCAAAAAACAAATGGACTTGAAATGGCTGGGGCGGGGAGAAAGGAAGATGACCCGCTCAAGCTCCGGCCTCTTTGAAGAGCTTAACAATCCATTCACTCGAAGTCGACCAATGAGCCGTTGCAAAACCTGTAAGTGGAGGCTGGAAGCGGTCTAAAGAAAAGAGGGGACATGTTAACACCGATAGTTGCAGCAGTGGGGGGGAAAAAGGAGGGGGGTTAACTAGGACTTACCAGGATTGCTTCGATCGAATAAGTTAGCAATTGACGTGACATACTGGAAACCTTCTGCGTCAATGTGACCGCGTTCGCGCAGTTCGTCTGGGTTATCACGCGCTAATTTGAACGGCGAGTACCCCCGAAGAATGCAACGCCAATGGTATAGAAGCACAGGGAAGGCGAATTCCCACTTTTTGATCTGCGTTGTGACGACGTTGCTGACTTGATTCTCAAGCAACTAGTGGCCGGGTTAGTAAAAAGAAATAAAAGCGAGAAAAAGCAATGTGCTATCGACAGCGGACAACTTACAGTGCCGTTCTTCGACTTGATATAGTCTTGAGCGCCGTGGTGAATGTATTCGAGATTCCAGAAGATGACATAAAATGTCAAAAACAGTTCGTACCAGGGCTTGATCTTGGGCTTGAAGATCAATGCAGCCAGTTCCTTGACGAAGAGCTTTTCCAGCTTTCGGAGGTATTTGACGGCAGCAACATCCATCTGGTGAGTGATTGCACCAGGTAGTGGACGATCGCACGACCCTCGATCGTATGCTTCATAGTCGCTATGGCCGAGCCTTGAGTAGTCGTATTCACGTATCCCAGGGATGTTGGGGGAGAAGACAGAGCCATAGCCCTGAGAAACGACGGAGAGACACTGGAGGCGCATTGCTAGATCGAGAGCCTTGCTTCCGGTCACTCGGCGCATGCGTATAACTTCTTGATAGGTACTGTAGGCGATTTCGTCGCGACTGATGCGAGCAAAAATCCACTCTTCAATGGCAGGCTGAAGGCTGGAAAAGTATCGTTCCACAGCCACGACAAGGTTCGCCGTATCGTACACGGCGTATGCTGGCTGTTCGACAGTAGGCACCTGTCCCTCTCTGTTGGACCAAACAGATGTGGCAACATCGAGTGGACCACGCTTTGGACTATAAGGGCGAAAGGCGATGCGCAACGGCTGCGCGTTCGGTATGGGACCGTAGCCGGGCAGATTCCAGATGATTTCCATTTCGTACAGTTGACTGTTGTATATCCAGTCGTAGCCAAGGAACTCGGCCTCTTCCTGGTGCTCACGGCCATTGCCTGTTACACGGTCAGCAGTTGATCATGTTTGGCTGGCCACAGAAACATACAGCGACGGATGAGGCTCGTGTCTTCGAGGTGTTCTCGGTAGCATGGCTCACGAAAGGACCTGGCGTGACCAGTGATTTTTTCGCACTTTTCACACGGATCACCCTCGTCACACTAGATTTTTTGTTAGTCTTGAGAAAGTGTACATGAAAAGACGCACACATACACCAGACTTGTAAAACCTGCAACGGACGCAAATGCGCTTGGTCTTGCGCATGGTGTGCGTCTTCTCTCTCTGTCTCTCTTGAAGTGGGCCTTTTCGCTTGGACACCTTGAGCTTCTCCTGCCGCTCAACAAACGACGAAGGCACCTTGGCAGTCTTCTTCTTGGGTGGTGGTCTATGGCGCGCCAGCATCTGCGCTGCGGTCCGTTCCATGTGCTCTACAGGGGCATGGTGTTGGGCGTAGAGTTGATGGTCCGCGGGCACTTCTGCGACAGGCCATTCTTGTGCTATGTTGGAAGGTCGCTCATAGACAGCAGAAGCACTTTGGGGTTCGGCTGGCTCAACCATGGGCCATGGGGTAGTGGAAGTGGTGCTGTCATGTCTCGTCACTGGCAGGCTGCTTGCAATGGGGTCACTGGTGTGGTCTGGATACTGGCCATGGTGCGCCCAGGCGGCGGCGGCGGCAGCAGCAGCATGGTGCAAAGGAGGCTGCTGTTCATGACTTGTGTGTAGCAAGATGGTTTGGGGGAGCGAATGCGATGGCAGTGGGACTGGGGGCAGCTTTTGGGCATGATTCGAGTATGGTGGGTCTGCCGTGGTGGTGGGGGTCTCCTGGGCATTCTCAGCTACGATTGCAAAACACAGCAGACGTGGTGTGCACTTACTGGGGAGATGCGCAACGGATGGAAATGGTCGTGGGCGGCCAGCGGCAGGGGAGGAGCCGGGGTCAGGGCAGGCTGGTGCTGGTGTTGGTGATGGTGGTGCTGGTGCTGGTGGTGCTGGTGGTGCTGGTAGTGGCGGGAAACGGCAGGCAGCTGGTGGTGCGGGAGCGGCGCGCTCCCATCGCCATGGCAGTACGAGACGGAAGAGCGGTCCGTATACGACTCGTCGGGCTGGTGCTGGTGCTGGTCTTGGTGCTGGTGCTGGTGTTGCTGCCACTCATGGGGCGCCTGTGGTCTGACATAGCCAGCTGCCCACGCTGACGGGGCCTGTAGGCTAGCGGAGTCGACTCCGGGCTGTGGGTAGTGGAGAAATGCCGCCGGTGATGGGCCGACTGGGTACGAGTCGTGGGCAGCAGTAGCAGCAGCAGTCGCGGCGGCGGCGGCGACAGCGGCGGCGTCGTGTTGCCAGGTTGCCAGTCCCCCCAGGGCATCGTGGGCGGCGCCGGGATAGTCGTGGAAGTGCGAGGGGGTTTGGGCGGCACTCCTGTACTGCGGGCTGGTGGCCGACATGGAGGGCTTGGGTCGGAGAGAGAGAGCGTGGCGGCTTCAGCTTCAGGAGAGGTGTCGCTCGCTCGCCTGGCAGTGCTGGGTGGAATACGTCGAGCAGGGCAGGACGGCCGCCTGAGCCATAAAAACGGAGCTTATGCGGTAGATCGTCGCTCACAAAAGGCGACGGCAGCAAAGGCTTAAAGGAGTCTCCCACGGCGGCAGGCCGAGAACCTTGGGACCGCACGGCTGCTGGGTGTCAGTGCCATGCATGCATACTTTAGTTGCCGTTAGGGCTGCATCTCCCCGCAAACCCGCTGGGTCTAGGGGACCGCCCAAGCACTGCGTCCGAGGAGCGTTGTCCAAGACTCGCGCCGACGCCGCTGCTGCTGCTTGGTGCCTGGTGGTGATGATTATCGTCGTTGCTGGTGGTGGTGTTGTTGTGGTTGTTGTTCAGCCCCGTCTGAGCGTCGATATGGCCGTCTTCCCCATGGGCCAAAACAAAGCTCGCCAAGCCCATCACCACTACCTCCACCCGCCTATATGTCTCGACCCCAACAAATCACCCCAGCCTTGCATTTGCAATCTTTTGTCCAGTACTACGCGTGACAGCCACGGAGAAGACCGCAAAAGGATCCCCTATCATGTCCCGTTGTGTATCCACCCTGCCTCATCGTGCAGACGTAGTCTCAAAGCCTGATTCCAGGAACGCCTCTTTCTACGTCACACGCTGATAAGACTCCATCATGTCCGCAATATACCACCACCATCACCAAACACAAAAAAAGAGTCATGGGTGCCTTGGGCAGTCGTGTCATTTCATCTGCCCAAGATCTCTCGAGGCCAGTCATGTGAGTGTCGAGCTGACAAAATGATGTCACTACCGTCTGAGATGGTGCCAGCCCTGGACCCAAATATCTTCCGAGGCTACGGCAATGACGAGCATCATAAGCTCCTCAGCATCGGTGTGAGACATGCTTGGCGATCTGCAGCCCCGTTGAAACCTAGCCGGCCCAGGGCACAGAAACACGTGGTGGTAGTGTGCTCTTCGACTTTGGTCCATCCCGTCTTCCATACGTGATCGGTACCGAGGTTTGTATCAGACTGCCCGTTTAATGCAGGGCAGACGTAAGCACAGCCTTATTCCGAACCCTGAACCGAAAAAACAAACAACTGGACCTTGCATGTGTATACACTTGTTGAACCACTGTATCGGCTTGGACTAGGATAGTGATTGTACATACCGTGTTAGTGGGAATAAGAAAAATAGGGAATAGGACATTCCCATCTACCTACGCTCTTACTGGAAATATGGAAGTGAGGGAGGGTACCCAATCTAGTACCTTTCTTGTCTTGGGTCGTCTTACCAACCCAGTTTTTCACTGGCAGGGCTCTACAAACATGGTGACAGGGCAAGGAGGGCATACATCATAATTATACTATCCATGGGAATACCACATGGCCAATTCCAATGGCTCTTAAATACAATGAAAAAAAAACTTGGAGACAATAACCATTTCTCCACCGGTATGCCGCTCAAGATTTACTCTTCTTCGCCTTGGGCTTGGCCGTCTTCTTTCCTTCCTCCTTTTCACTCTTCTCACCATCATCATTATCATCATACGTCTTCCTCTTCCCACCCGCCACTCTCGCCGATCTCCTCGTTCCCTCTACCCTCTCTTTCCCCTTTCCCTTCAACACTTTCGAATCCTCTTTCTTTGCCTCAGCACTCTTTGCGTCCTTCTTTGCACTCCCAGTCTTCCTCGCCCCCGTATTAGCCTTTACCTTTGGTTTCTGCGCGCTTGGAGGCGCATCATTTTCATCATCCTTGTTCTTTTCATCTTGGGTAGACTCTCCCTCTTTCTCTTCTTCTCCATTTCCCTCCTCTTTCTTATCATCATTATCCTTCTCTTCTGCCTTTTTCTTTGCTGGAGACTTCTCTTGTGGCACACCCTTCTTAGGCTCGTTCTTGCTTCCAGCTTCATTCTCATATCCACCTCCTTTCTTCTCATACTCTTTTGCTAATTTGCTGGCCTGTCATTCATATCAGCACTCGAACAAGACCCCCACACCAGC